TCTGTCGTGCGTTTGCGAATATCACGCGTGACCGATTTCGTGATAGAGTCCGCCCGTTCTTTAGGGGATTGCCAGGGTGCTGTACCGTGCGTGTCTGAAAAAGGCAACTCCTGCGCCAACTCGGCACTGCTCAGTGGAGGCGTAAACTTGAGTTTCTTTTTAGCACTAGGGGTGATGTTCGGTTTAGGCGGGACAGGTGGTTTTCTGGGTCCAGCTGGCGTGGACCCTTGTTTTATACCTTTGGTGGCTTTGACCAACTTCGTGAACCACGCTTGCATTGGCCCCGCCTCAAAATCATCATCCTCACCGGGCGTGGCAGCCCCGGCAGCAGTCACACCCCCTGCGGGTGCTCCAAAGGGTTGACGCACTTTTTTGGTCCAATGGCGTAATTGACGGCTCACGGCTTTGAGTTGCGGCCGTTTCCAGGCATCGGGAACCTCGCTGGTCAAAAGGACATGTTGTCGGGCCGCCAAATCCGCAGCTTTACTCAAGCGCGTATCTTCCACCAATTCTTGTTTATACTTCTCTTTTAATTGTAAAAAAGCAGGGGCGTTGTCCACCGTAGTGCTCACCATCTCGGGTTCCATGATGCAACTGACGGGTCTCCTTTAGCGCATGCAACGTTTATAACATCGGTGGAGTTCAGGCCAGAGGGTACCCCCTGTTTGAGCCATCATGATAGCGCGTCGTCGTTTCACCGAATGCGCGGGTTTGGCCATGGCGCGTAGACTTTGGGCGTGGGGTTTGAGCAACGTGATGGTATGTCGAGAACGGGGCACGGTGCCGCGGAGCGTGTTCATCACCAGTTCACTAATGGCATTGATCTGATCCGCATTGGCCATCCGTAACAATTCTTGTCGTTTATGCTGATTGGCTTCTTGTAAGACACTTTTCAAGAACGGGGCTTGACGTTCCATGCGCCACGTCATGATGAATCTTCAGTTCAGACAACGAACAAGGTCTATTTATGGTAAAAAGGGCTCCACACCTGCCACACAATTCGCCATGATAATAGCATTGCATATGAGTGCGACACTGATGGCATAACAATGAATCATAATGGGGGTCCCACTCCAACGTGAACGTCACGGCTTTTTTTCGTTTTTTGAGGACTGGATCGCGTCTAACGTTGACGCGTCCGTCGACGTTTCTTCTTGAACGCCCAAGGCGAGAGAGCCACTGCCAGCATGGGGAGCACGCCTCCACGTTGCAGACCACGTCGTCGACGTCGTTTTCGGGGGACATAACGGTGTCGGCGTCCATTGGGTCCACGGACCATCCTCCAATAATGTCTGGGTCCCTACCCCGTCTGTCTTTTATAGCCTTCTCAGTGTTTTAAACCCGCCCCAACCTGTTCGACCTAACATCCGCTGAACCCGTCGTTGATTGGCTGCCTGTTGCTTGGCACTGATCTTGCCCACTTTTTTCTTTTTCTTTTTTTTCATGGCGATGGCTGCACCGACGGCAATAGGAAGAAGGAGCGGGAGAATACCCCCTCGTTGCTGTCGACGCCGTGTTCGTCGTGGACCACAAACCATGAGGATCCTTGCATCTGTCCAACCCAAGACACGCCTCTTGTCTTTTATACTATTTTTTTTCACATGATGGAACAATTAAACGATTCCCCCGCATAGCGTTTTCGTTTGCCGGATTCCACTTCTCGTCGGCGTTTTTCGGCAATTTTGATGGCTCGCTTGGTTTGATGATCCCCAATGGCTTTAGTGATCCCATACCCGGCTTTGAGAATCCCGAGAGGCAGACCAGGTTCGACCCCCCCTACTTGACCCCTTCGTCGTTTAACAGGTCGGTGACGCCGAGTCGTGGTACGTTTGCGTTTGCGTCGAGGGGCCATTCCGCTTCGACATCAGTCACACGTGATTTTGGGACAATCGAAGGAAGAGCCTGGTTTTATATCTTTTTTGTTCACGGGCGTCGACCCCGTCCACGGGCTCGACCACGGCCACGGCCACGGCGTGGTGGGGGTGGACCAGAGGTTCGCGTCGACGTGCGACGTACCGACGGTCGTCCACCCTCTTCATACACGGTGGTCACCGTATTGGTATGCGTAATATTGCGAATGCGTCTCCCTCGCGCCCGTTCTTGGGCATCTTCGTTCAACAAATCTAACCGTCGCCTTAAACCTCGCCCTCGATCGTCGTCATCCTCGTCTTCATCTTCATCCTCCGACGGAGGGGAGGAATCGGGGGACGGTGGAGAGGGCACGCGAGGGCGTCGTCGCGGTTGTTTGGCGGCCACGGTGGGACGTCCCGTCGGGGTCGTCACTGTGGAGGTGGTAGTCCTGGTGCCGGCTCCTGCACTGCGTCGGGAAGTGGAGGGGCGGGAGGGAGCCGTGGTGGTGGTGGCGGTGGTGACAGGGCGTGGTCTGGGAGGTCGTCTGGAGGCAGTGGTGGTCGTGGTGGCCGTGGGGCGAGTGCGGGTGGACGTGGTGGGACGGGTTCGTGTGGCGGTGGTGGTGGTGGGAGCGGTGGTGACGGTGGGTGGAGGCGGTGGTGGCGGGGGTGCCGTGGTCGTAATGGCGGGGGCGGTGCCTGTGCCTGTCACGGGGGGTAACGTAAAGGCATTCAAGGCATCGTCCACATTGATCGGAAACGTCAAGTTAAACGCCTCAATGTCTTGATCCAATTGAGTTCGATCCACGGGTTGGGTCAATTCCGTGACCATGTCCCTCATGGTACTGAGATCGGGGGGAGGGGCGGTGGGCGACCCCACCCCAGCGGGCGAGAACGTCGGCGTGTCCATGCGGGTCGATAACTCAGTTTGTTGTCCGCCTTCTTTTTGCCGACGGACCCTGGCGAGTTCTCGTTGCAGCTCGTTTTCGAACGGCAGGGACATCCACGGGCAAGGTATGGACTTGCGCCTTGCCTTCTCGGCGCGTTAAATGACTCCACAAGCGGTACCGATCATCCGAGGCGGGATGCACATCCAACATCAAATAACCAAAGGGACGGGACGTGATGCGTTTAAATAGGCGCAAGACTTGACGCCAACGGTCGGGAAAGGCTTGCAGTAAAATAGTGCGTATGCCCGTTTGATCCCGGGGATTCTTGAAGGCCACAATGTAATGCGCGTTGCGATTAATGGTCTTGGCAAATTTACCCGGTGGGAATAAATCTTGCGTCAAATACAAGACGGTGATGTTGCGATGATGAGAATCTTTGGTGAACAAATCCAACACGCGTTTGTCCTGTCCCCCTTCTTCCATCAAATCGTCCAACACCAGCACTCCGCCACGCGTCCGGCCAAACCATTGGGTTAAATGACGGGGGTCCGGTAACCCGCGATGAAATTGAATCCCCTCTTTCTTTTGCATACGGTCAAACCGGGGTTGCCATCGGTCGTACGCATAGACGATCTTGTGGGGTTTGACTTGAAACACATTGAGGTCCCGTAACCAATGTTCCACTAACTCGCTCTTGCCACTGCCTGACGGGCCCGCGATAATCACACTACTGGGCTGTCGAATCATCCTTCCCACGGTCGAGGGTGACGTCGATAATGACCTGTAGCCCCTTTAGCGCCCATGCGTTTATACCGTTTGCTACGACCCAATGTATCCCCGATTTTATACGCTTTGGCCAACACGCTCATGATGCCTCGCCCGTTTTGACGAAAGCGGGGTCGTCGTTGGGAGGAAGCGCGCTGTTGTCGTAGTCGTCTGTGGAAGGGCAAGCGGTCCAATCGTCGCAAGAGTGGGTTGGAAGCGCGTCGTCGTCGTTGTTGTCTGGGGTTGGGCATGCTGTCCAATACTCGCGGTAAAGACGTGGCGATTCGAACTGAATCAACCCTTCCATCGTCTCTCTTAAATGCGTTTCTTGCATGGTGTCCATATACTGTTTGAGAGCGACCCAGTCTTGGTCTTGGGCCAGTTGGCGGGTCACCAGCCAATGATACCCATCCCAGGCATCCACCCCTTGGACGGTGTTCACCCGTTCAATAGGGTGGGACCACCAATACAGGGTTTCTTCTAACATGAAGGCGTCAATCACACGCTGAACATCCCCTCGCGTAATCATGATGAAATGACCACTCATTCACAGCACATCTCGTTTTATGGTGTTTTTTATTTTAACACTCACAAGGATTACAAAGCATAAAGGCCTGTCGGCTCACATTCTTTTGCCCTCCCTCTGGGCGGGCATCGACTTCATCTTGGACTTCCTGTTTAATCACCCGTTTCAACTGGTCCGCCACTTTCTGATCATTCAACACTAAGTTGTCGCAACTCCATTGACTCAAAAACTCTTGATACGACTGGCCTTGGGCTCGGGCTTTCAGGAAAAATAACGCATAATGGCCACAGGTCTGACTATCCAGGGCTTGCAACGTCTGGTCACTGCGGATCAGGTGCTTCCATTAACTCCACCATTGGCGCAAGTCGGGGTGGGTGTACACGTGCAGGGGCAGTCCATAACTGTCAAAGATCTCGCACTTGTTCTGTTCCGTCCACAACCCCAACCAATGTTGTCCCGGTTCTCCGGCTGGATCCGTATTGACAATGTAGGCTTGACGGACACTCTTGGGAGGTGAACGGGGTAACTGGTCGGCGGGGTACACCCCGTGAAACACGCGTCGTAATTGAGGATCTTCTAGGGCCAACGTGCGCAGCACTCTATCACTGAGCGCCACAAACTCCATGCCCGGTGTCTTCTGTCTTCTGACTTCACTTCAACCGTTGATGTTGTACTTTATACCTCCCATGTGATTGATCTCGTACATGTTTTCATATTCGCTCCAGACCAACACGGTGATGTTGTGACCCACCGCAGCCGCAAAATCAATGATCAGTCGCGTATTGCGCGATTGACGGGGGTTGCGATACTGAGGATCATCGGCTTTTCCACTGGGCACATTGTTGAACAGGAACAACGTGCAGTTCTTGCCTTGTCCCCAATCTCCAGGCAGCAGCATAGGAATCTTGTCTTCATTGTAAACACCCATGGCTTGTAGAAATCGATCGTACCCCAGTAGATCTTCATAGGCTTGATCGCCTGTCAATTGCAGGGTTCTATAAGGGTATTCTTCTCCATTCAAGGTCTGACGTATTTGGGTGACTCCAAACTTTTCAAAGGCAAAGGGGTAGCGTTGTAGGTTTCCATTGAAGGCATCGGAATGCAGTAATCCGACCATCACTCGGTCAGGAAATCGACCTACAAACACATTGTCTTGTTCCCACTGGGTGGTACGTCCATCGAAGGAAAAGGTGCGGATTTCGCTCCGCACCACGGGGTAGCGGGCAATTTGTTTGCCCAACTGTCTTTCTTTCTGCAGTCTCACATAGACACTGGCATTCAAGGTCACTTTTCTCATCAGCAAGGTGACTTTGATGTCTTCTGGGTGAATGGCTGGAAATTTCTTGGCGACTAAGGTGCCTTTGTTGGGGGTGCCCATCATGTAGACGGTGTTGGGGTTGAGGAAGAGTTCAAAGTCCATCTGGACATTGGGGACCAACAATTTGCCTGTCTTGAGGGGTGGCAAATGGGGACGGATGAGGAAGGTGTGCCAATTTTCGCTCAGCAATCGGCTCGTCAAGGCTCTCAATTCTGTATTGCCACTCCATCCAGCGTTCGTGGGGATATCCGAATTGGCTCCTGTGGCTCCCATGATATTCACCACATTGAGGGCATTGACCCATCCTTGGGGGGCTAACTTGGTGGCACCTTCTTCTCGGTTGTAGTTCAGGAGGGTTTCTAGGTAGGCTCTGTAATGGTAGGTGTTGCTCTGTTCCGTCATGAGGACCCCATTCATGCTCAGGGTGATATCTCGAAAGATGGAGTGTCCAAAATTGTTGACGCAGTACGTGCTTTTGGAATTGTTGGCATCCGACGCGGCGGCCAAATCAGCATTCAAGCCATTATACCCAGCGGCTGGATCGGTCAGACGGACTTTGACTTTGAATCGGAGGGAATTGGTATCGTAATAATCGTCGGAGCCCGGGATGGAGAACGTGATGGGCTGGATACCCGTCAGGGCGCGTTGAAACTCCACCTCCCGGGAGGCTTCGTACCGATAATCCACCTCGGGCACGTCAAACAGTTGGAGCGACATGCTGCGGTCTGTCCCTGGGCTTCAACGTTCCCCCCTTTTTATACCCTTTCGCCTCCGTTGCCTCCTGGCTTTGGCTTGGTTGGCCCATAACACCTGTCTGAGATCCCCTTTGCCAAAAATCGTGCCTCCTTTCATCCGTTGCTGGAGCCAGCGTCTCCTTCTGGCCTTTTCTTGGTCTGCTGCGAGGACCTGCCAGGGATCCCCCATGCGCATGCGAGTGGACGTGCCAAAAATGGTGCCCCCTTTCATCTGGCGGCGTCGTTTCAATTGTTTGAGGATCATGGGATCCACCAGGCGAGAGGACATATGCATCAAAGGATAGCGCGCCATGGTGGACTTGCCAAAGATGGTCCCCCCGACTTGATACGGCGAGATGAACCGTCCACGGGCACGTTGCCGTCGAATGCGATTTTGCGTTTTGAGAAAACCCCCCACGCGTACCATGTTTAACGTCCAAAGATGTCCCGTATACGTTGGGTCACTCTTTTATAGGGTTTTTTGGCTTGGTGTTTACCGGCCGCCCATACCATGGCGGGGGCTTTCCGTTTCAAGCCGCGGGTGAGTTGCCCACGTCGATTCGCCCATGTCTCCGCGGCACTCTTGCCTCGTTGAATCTCTTGCAATCCCGCTTGCGCTTGCTGCAGGACCAGTGGTCCCGCCAGTTTGATCAAGTCTTCGGCTAACCCTTTCCCCTCTTGCGAGGTGACCACAGGCGTGTGATACCGCGTTAAACTGCCTCCGCGCATTTTGGTCGGTTCACGTCGAAGGTGCTGTTTGGTCCCTCGCGTGGCGCGAGTGGCTTTTTATAGCTGTTTGAGACCGATGGTCACCAAGGTTTTGCCCGGGGGTAACACAGCCAGGGGTCCACTGGTACTGGCAATTTCCACTTCCAAAATATCCAATTGTTGTCCTCGTATTTTGATCCATTGATGGTGCAGGGGTTCCGCCGTGCTTTCCCCATCGCCGGTTCTCAACAATTGCACTTCCCGTAACAGGGGATACTTGCCACTGCCCACCACCGTGGATTCCACCAGATCCTAATAGACCATGACGGTGCGTTTACGGGTCCCCACAATCCTTTCAAACGAGGCATTTAGGTTGTTGATCTGCCATTCGTAGCCCATGTACAATCTCATCCATACCACATTATCCATGGTCACGATCGTAAAGGCTCGGCTAGTCGCCATCACCCCCATGTACTGCTCACCTCCCAATTGTAAAACTTCCGATTCTGACTGCCCACTGGACTGGTGGTCTCATTATAGGTGTCTGTCGGTGCCGTGAATTGCAAATTGGGCCCAATGTCAAAGGAACTTGTGACATTGGCTGTTTTGCCTGTCTTTCTGGTTAACAAGCCAAACTTCAGGGCAATGTCCAAGTTGATGTAAAATTCCACCACGTTGATTTGGCGTTGATCCGTCAAATCTTTTTGGGGCACTCCATGAATCACCAGGGCATCCTCTTTCCACGTCAGTCGGGGCATCGCGTATTTTTTGATGCTCACGATCGGTTTGGAATCGCGATCATGGATCATCTCATTATTTTGTTGTTCCACCAGTGTTTTCATGGTATAGTTATGCACTTCTTGACTCACGCGTTTCCAAAAATCCGTCCCGGTGGCCACGATTTGATTCAGGTTCATGATATCTTCCAATTCGATCTGGCCATTGAGTAAAGGGGCCGCTACGCGCAGATACCCGGAGGTAGATGGGTTGCCTGTGTCTGTCCATTTACGGATGATTTGTGGGTACTTGAATCGAACCACTTTGGTATGAGGATCCGCGGCGATGATGGCATTGCTCTGGCCTTGATCCGGGACCGTCAGGGACATCAACGAGGCATGCCACCCCGCGCCCGGTAACACCAACCGTTCGGGCAATCGCACCTTGAAACTATTGTTGGTATTGTTGGGAAACTCGTCGGTGGGATCACTGACCAGCGTCAGGCGTTTAATCTCGTTCATCCTGAGAAGTGGTCTCCTCCTATTGGATCAGGGTCCCTTTTATAGCCATTGGGCCACTTTCTGTTTACTGCGAGGGACGCGGCCTACCACGGAATTGAAGGTCGATTGTTTCGGGTGAAAACACACTTGCTGGGCAATGTTGGGAAAGGCCCGGGCTAATTCCAACAAAGTCATGCACGTCTTGGGTTTAGGGGGTTTCTTCTTGCGCATGGGTGGATGACGACCCGCGCGTCGACGTTGTTGTTTTTTCTTGGAGGGGGATCGCAAGGCCCCTCGTTTCTTGGCATACGCTTCGGCTCGATGGTAAGCATTGGCGTACGCCCATTGCTGTTTGGTCGGACTGGCCAACTTGTCCCACCACGGTTGGGTTTGCCGTTGTTCGGCGGCTTTCTTCTGGATGAATTTCAGGACATCGGCGTCGCTGGTGGGCGTGGGGGTGTAACTGGCGCGCGGTCGACTGGAATCCGCTTGCACTTCATCGAGAAACCGCACCCGCTTTTTTCTTTTTCGAGGGGTGATTTTGACGCGGACCATGCTGCGCGGGAATCCAACTATCGTACTTGGCCGGCCACCCTTTCCACCGGACCAACACCCGGCGTCCTTGACGTTTCAATACTTTTTCCACCCGAAATAACGAGTCGTCTGTGACTTGGACTTTTTGAACATCGGGTTCGTAAAACGTGCCTTTTATAGGGGTGCCGTCCCATTCACTGAGTCGATAGGTGACGATCGGATGACGACGGACATGCGTGATGATAAACACTTCTTCCGTCCACCCGGGCAAATACCCTTTTTTGAAGGGACGATGTTTCTTGTTGAGACGCACCCGATCCCCGACTCGACATTTGGGCGGTGGGGTGGTTTGCTCCAACCGCGCGCCGTAGAGTCTCTCCCACACGTCCGGGACCGTTTTGGGGGTGACTTGATGCGGGGCCATCCCAATACTGCGATGATACGTGTGATTGTAGGTATGAATCAAAGGTTGTAACACGTCCACGTACCGTAACGTATTGTGCGCGGTGAAATACCGGTACATGCGTTGTTTCAACGTACGATGCCATCGTTCCACCACCGAGGCCTTGCTATCCCCAAACGTGTAAAAATGATGCCACCCCTGCTGTTTGAACCAGGCTTGCACTTTTTTATTCAAAAATTCTTTGCCTTGATCCGTCTGCACGCAGAGCGGTCGTCGCGGCGAGGCTTGGCGACGAATCTTGTCCAACCCTCGGATCATGTTCGTGCTGCTTTTGGATTGGATGGGGACGGCCCAGGCATACTTGGACAACACGTCGATGACCGTCAACAAATAGTTGTTCCCTTGATTCCATCGACGGAGTTTTTGCATGTCGACCAAATCCATTTGCCATTGTTCGTCTCGGTCAAAGACCAACGTGGGTGCCGTGGGAAATCGCGTCCGTCGGGGTTTGTGGAGGGTATAACTCAACACCGATTGGAGAATCTGTTGGGCTTGCGGGGTTTTCAATTTATGGGCTTGGGCAAAAGGTCGGACCCCACCCAACGCCCCGGGTTCTTGGGGATCTTCGTAAGCGCGTGGCAACGACATCAAGACACTGACACACACTCGTAGCCCATCTCGGTCTTTAATAGTTTTTTTCACACACCTACATGCTTTTTTCAAAACAAACACGAGCTACCAAAGTTCTTATGCAAATGACGCCTGCTCTCATACGCTCGCTCCTGGGCTTGGATGGCTTCCTTAAACTGATTGGCTCACGGCCTATGCCTCTCCACAAAGTCCCTCTCTGGGGAAGTATCGTCTTTCTCAGGGTTTTTCAGCATGGGGACTGCAGGCATGCCCCATGGTCTTACGGGCGCCTTCTCATAGTCATGGACCCATCGTCTCAGGGTGGGTTGCGCTTGCTCTCGGGGGGACCACAGGGGGCCATGGAGCCATTGAAAGTAGCCACAGGGATCTTGGCCTGTGAGAAAACTGCCACAACTGAAAAACACTTTCTGGTAATTCTTTTGGGTCCGGCTCATTTTCATCCTAGGGACCAACCCACATTTGCACTTGAGCTCCCCTCGTTGCAATCGGGCCCGGACTTGAGGGTGTGTGTCTTCTTTCAATTTCTCCATCATCACCTCTCGACTATCTTCAAACAAATACACGGGACATCCTGCTAAGGGGCACTTGAACCTCAACTGGCCAAATTGGGTCTCGGGGTTAACGCATTGGAGGATTCGATGAGGATGAAAGGGGCACGTTTCATACAAGAGCTCGTTCAACTGGGTCTCCATCTGATCGAGGTCCTGGTCTTCTTGGACAGGCTCCGCCTGAACCATCCCTTCCTCTAGACACTCTTCCTCATAATCTTTTAGGGTGCCCTCCATCAAGTCGTTCACGGAGGAGACGGGTGAGACGATGAGGGAAGGGGTGGGCGGTGGGTCAGCTCGGGGTAGGGCGTTCAGGGCCAACACGAGTTCACTGGTAGGGGTCGGTTCCACGTTCCTCTCTACAGCCTGTGCTTGATAGGCCTCCGCTTCAGCTCGGGGCAACCCGATCAAAGTCATCTCGAGTTCACGGGTGGCTTCCATGTCTTCTTTGTCCCTCTTGGGTTTCTTATTACTACTCACTCGGCGTCGTTTGCGTCCTGAGGGCACCGCGGCAGGTTGAGTGGCTTGACGTTCCATGTCTGGGTGGAATGATTGGGGTGCACGTCTAGCCTGCCTTTTATAGCCCATGTCCCTGCGTCTCGTGATCCTCATACGATCTGGTGGTCCACCAATCCTGTCTCAGCCCTTGAACTCGTGAAGGTGGTGTGATCGGTGGGTCCACCAATCAGAGCCCATTCTGCCCGCTATAAAATCAGGGGTGGCTCGCTGCGGTGTCATTCTGTCCTTTGGAGGTGTATGGAATGTGAAGGTGGATCGATCGCTAAAGAACTTCCTATTGTAAGTAAAATCATGTCGCTCCACGAAGTGGGTCTCTTGGTGTTCAGTCAGGGGTTTGCCCTTTCCCGAGACGAGTACATTATTCGAGAACTGGCTTTTTGTGATTGGACAGGGCATCATCATGCCCTCTTCAAATACTTGTTACCGCCGGGTGTGTCGTACCATCAATTATCCGAGAAGGCCAAGACGCGTGTCGATCGTCAGACCCAGACAGTGCACGGGTTGCCTTTTGAACCGTCTACGGCGTACAACCGCCAGGAGTTTCATCCCTATGCTCAGATTCAGGACGATTTGACCCGTTGGTGTCAACAGTACCTTACCCCTCAACGGCCACGGGTCGGGGTGTTCACCCTCAATGGGCTGTATCGTTTGTGTCAAGAGAGGTCGACCCCTCTCGTGGTCCTGGAAGGGCAGGGCTGCCCGGACTTGGCTTCTCTTCCTATTGCCACCGTCAATGTCATGGCCACCAACGATCAGGGGCGTAATTGGTGCATGGACCATACCGACGGAGTGCGTGGGGGTGGGATCTGGCATGATTGTTGCGCGCACGTCCGAGCCTGTCAAATGAGTGGATGGTTACGTCGCCACTCTCATGTCTTACCCACCCTGTACCAAGTCAATGCCCAACGCGTCTTGTGGCAAAAACGATGCGATCGTCTGTTGGATGTGATCTTATGCAACCCTTGTAAGGACGACAAAGACAAGGCGTTCGCTCAAGGACAAGGCCTGGATTGGATTCCCGATACTTGCTCCAACTGTCGTTCTGCCCGACGTATTTTCGAACAAACGGTCACGTGTCGGGAATGGCAAACCCCTTTGCTGTACGCGGACGATGAACCGCATACCCTATGGGCGTGGACACCCTTATATCACCCTAATCACTGTTAATTTTTTTCGATAGACCATGCCACTGACGATTTACACGGGTGGTGCGAAAGGCGTGGACACGCATGTGGAACGATTATGTCAGATGCATGGGCATAAGTGTGTGGTCCTCATCCCACCCTGTCACCCTCGAGCCAAGTCTCTCACGCCCTTGACACAATCGGAGTTGGAGGCCGCTACCCCTACCGTCACCCAGGCCATGTTTCGATTGGGTCGACAAGTGCATCATCCTATCAGCCTTCAGTATATCCAGCGCAATGTGCACGTGATCCAGCCAGCCTCTTTAGTCTTGGCCGTGGGCTATTTTGACGAGTTGCGCAAGCATCTATTGGGTGGGACAGGTTGGGGTGTGGTCATGGCCCAGCTCTTAGGCAAACCCCTCTATGTCTTTGATGTGGATCGGGAAGAATGGTTATGGTGGAATCCCACCCTAGGTCAATATCAACCCTGTGACGGCATGACTGAGGACTCCATTGCTTCACCCACCCTCCAAGACAAGACCGCCATTGTAGGCACACGGGAAGAAGACCAAGTCATTTATCCCACCCTGGAACGTTTATTCAACACCAATAAAAAGACACTGATATAGAACACATCACTTGTTTTTTAATGTATATCGATCACCGCAAAATTCATGGCCGACATGACATTCATAATTATGTCCAATCTCTTCATCACTTTATTGACGGTATCGTAGGCGGGCTTCCTCCGGCCAATCATGACGGGGCGTTTTCCAATGGGACACTGGGGGAGCTGATGTTTGAACTTGTCAATGACAAACGCTATGCCTTCGTTCAATAGGCGGTCGAGGTTGGGGGGTTGACGTGCCAACTCCACCATCATGCCAATCTGAAACCCAGACATACAAGACATTCAGTCCACCCAACAAAAACAAAACATCAACAACAACACCGTTCCCCTTACCGATAACTTGTGGTCTATGAGACGGTGGCAGTGGTGGCAGCCATTTTGTCTGGGGGTGTGCAACCGCACCACTACTTGGTTCCACCAACGGCCTTCGCCCAGGTGTTGTGGGAAGCCTGTCAGGTCACATTTGGGTAGCCCTTTGAACTCCTGTACCACCTTCTTACGCTTGTCTATGGTGTAGAAGCAATGGACCCAAAACATAATCTTGATCTGCACCTCTAATGGGAGCATGCGACCAAACGGTTTGTTCCTGGGATCGACCAACCCTCGGTAGTCCATTTTTTGACACAGTGAACTTCAGGCAACTGACCTCTCACCGTGGTGTTCCCTTGTTTATCCTCTAGTCTCCACCAACCATGCACTCGCGCTAGACCCTCTGGGTCAGGGGAGGACAAGGTGTACCCATGGGGGGCACCCCTAGAGTCTCTTCTCGTTCCTAGACACTCCACGTGATGGCTCTCCACCAATCACGTTCTCTGAAAGAGTCTCTAAATCACGTTGCGCGCCTAGTGTGGGTTCATTCCAGTTTGTTCAGTCACGCTGATCAAGATGGTGAGCTCGCTGTCCTCGTTGGTGTTATATTCCATGCCAATCGCCATGTTGTTCGATGCCCTGAAGATGTTGTGGCATACGCCTCTAAGAAGCGACTGTCTGCGCGCCTTCTTCCGACGCTGTACCCACGAGGAATTGCGGGATTGGGCGAAGACGTTGCCTTGGGACCACCCTGTTGCTCGGAAACTCGACCATGAGGTCCATCGCCGTCGCATGGCTGGTAAGTGTCATGGCTTTCCTTTTTTCGGGTGTGGGACCCTTTTTTTTCCTTATACCTTTTTTTTAATTCATAGACGTGTTCAAGGGGTTTGAGTTTCTACGCACCGTGCTGTGGCCTATCCACCTGTGTCTTTGCCCTCGACGAGCTCGACTCAATTGGGCCGCGCGGTTCTGGGTCCCAGCCTGTTCGTGTTGATTTTTATTTTTTTATTAAAATTTACCCGGTGGGAATAAATCTTGCGTCAAATACAAGACGGTGATGTTGCGATGATGAGAATCTTTGGTGAACAAATCCAACACGCGTTTGTCCTGTCCCCCTTCTTCCATCAAATCGTCCAACACCAGCACTCCGCCACGCGTCCGGCCAAACCATTGGGTTAAATGACGGGGGTCCGGTAACCCGCGATGAAATTGAATCCCCTCTTTCTTTTGCATACGGTCAAACCGGGGTTGCCATCGGTCGTACGCATAGACGATCTTGTGGGGTTTGACTTGAAACACATTGAGGTCCCGTAACCAATGTTCCACTAACTCGCTCTTGCCACTGCCTGACGGGCCCGCGATAATCACACTACTGGGCTGTCGAATCATCCTTCCCACGGTCGAGGGTGACGTCGATAATGACCTGTAGCCCCTTTAGCGCCCATGCGTTTATACCGTTTGCTACGACCCAATGTATCCCCGATTTTATACGCTTTGGCCAACACGCTCATGATGCCTCGCCCGTTTTGACGAAAGCGGGGTCGTCGTTGGGAGGAAGCGCGCTGTTGTCGTAGTCGTCTGTGGAAGGGCAAGCGGTCCAATCGTCGCAAGAGTGGGTTGGAAGCGCGTCGTCGTCGTTGTTGTCTGGGGTTGGGCATGCTGTCCAATACTCGCGGTAAAGACGTGGCGATTCGAACTGAATCAACCCTTCCATCGTCTCTCTTAAATGCGTTTCTTGCATGGTGTCCATATACTGTTTGAGAGCGACCCAGTCTTGGTCTTGGGCCAGTTGGCGGGTCACCAGCCAATGATACCCATCCCAGGCATCCACCCCTTGGACGGTGTTCACCCGTTCAATAGGGTGGGACCACCAATACAGGGTTTCTTCTAACATGAAGGCGTCAATCACACGCTGAACATCCCCTCGCGTAATCATGATGAAATGACCACTCATTCACAGCACATCTCGTTTTATGGTGTTTTTTATTTTAACACTCACAAGGATTACAAAGCATAAAGGCCTGTCGGCTCACATTCTTTTGCCCTCCCTCTGGGCGGGCATCGACTTCATCTTGGACTTCCTGTTTAATCACCCGTTTCAACTGGTCCGCCACTTTCTGATCATTCAACACTAAGTTGTCGCAACTCCATTGACTCAAAAACTCTTGATACGACTGGCCTTGGGCTCGGGCTTTCAGGAAAAATAACGCATAATGGCCACAGGTCTGACTATCCAGGGCTTGCAACGTCTGGTCACTGCGGATCAGGTGCTTCCATTAACTCCACCATTGGCGCAAGTCGGGGTGGGTGTACACGTGCAGGGGCAGTCCATAACTGTCAAAGATCTCGCACTTGTTCTGTTCCGTCCACAACCCCAACCAATGTTGTCCCGGTTCTCCGGCTGGATCCGTATTGACAATGTAGGCTTGACGGACACTCTTGGGAGGTGAACGGGGTAACTGGTCGGCGGGGTACACCCCGTGAAACACGCGTCGTAATTGAGGATCTTCTAGGGCCAACGTGCGCAGCACTCTATCACTGAGCGCCACAAACTCCATGCCCGGTGTCTTCTGTCTTCTGACTTCACTTCAACCGTTGATGTTGTACTTTATACCTCCCATGTGATTGATCTCGTACATGTTTTCATATTCGCTCCAGACCAACACGGTGATGTTGTGACCCACCGCAGCCGCAAAATCAATGATCAGTCGCGTATTGCGCGATTGACGGGGGTTGCGATACTGAGGATCATCGGCTTTTCCACTGGGCACATTGTTGAACAGGAACAACGTGCAGTTCTTGCCTTGTCCCCAATCTCCAGGCAGCAGCATAGGAATCTTGTCTTCATTGTAAACACCCATGGCTTGTAGAAATCGATCGTACCCCAGTAGATCTTCATAGGCTTGATCGCCTGTCAATTGCAGGGTTCTATAAGGGTATTCTTCTCCATTCAAGGTCTGACGTATTTGGGTGACTCCAAACTTTTCAAAGGCAAAGGGGTAGCGTTGTAGGTTTCCATTGAAGGCATCGGAATGCAGTAATCCGACCATCACTCGGTCAGGAAATCGACCTACAAACACATTGTCTTGTTCCCACTGGGTGGTACGTCCATCGAAGGAAAAGGTGCGGATTTCGCTCCGCACCACGGGGTAGCGGGCAATTTGTTTGCCCAACTGTCTTTCTTTCTGCAGTCTCACATAGACACTGGCATTCAAGGTCACTTTTCTCATCAGCAAGGTGACTTTGATGTCTTCTGGGTGAATGGCTGGAAATTTCTTGGCGACTAAGGTGCCTTTGTTGGGGGTGCCCATCATGTAGACGGTGTTGGGGTTGAGGAAGAGTTCAAAGTCCATCTGGACATTGGGGACCAACAATTTGCCTGTCTTGAGGGGTGGCAAATGGGGACGGATGAGGAAGGTGTGCCAATTTTCGCTCAGCAATCGGCTCGTCAAGGCTCTCAATTCTGTATTGCCACTCCATCCAGCGTTCGTGGGGATATCCGAATTGGCTCCTGTGGCTCCCATGATATTCACCACATTGAGGGCATTGACCCATCCTTGGGGGGCTAACTTGGTGGCACCTTCTTCTCGGTTGTAGTTCAGGAGGGTTTCTAGGTAGGCTCTGTAATGGTAGGTGTTGCTCTGTTCCGTCATGAGGACCCCATTCATGCTCAGGGTGATATCTCGAAAGATGGAGTGTCCAAAATTGTTGACGCAGTACGTGCTTTTGGAATTGTTGGCATCCGACGCGGCGGCCAAATCAGCATTCAAGCCATTATACCCAGCGGCTGGATCGGTCAGACGGACTTTGACTTTGAATCGGAGGGAATTGGTATCGTAATAATCGTCGGAGCCCGGGATGGAGAACGTGATGGGCTGGATACCCGTCAGGGCGCGTTGAAACTCCACCTCCCGGGAGGCTTCGTACCGATAATCCACCTCGGGCACGTCAAACAGTTGGAGCGACATGCTGCGGTCTGTCCCTGGGCTTCAACGTTCCCCCCTTTTTATACCCTTTCGCCTCCGTTGCCTCCTGGCTTTGGCTTGGTTGGCCCATAACACCTGTCTGAGATCCCCTTTGCCAAAAATCGTGCCTCCTTTCATCCGTTGCTGGAGCCAGCGTCTCCTTCTGGCCTTTTCTTGGTCTGCTGCGAGGACCTGCCAGGGATCCCCCATGCGCATGCGAGTGGACGTGCCAAAAATGGTGCCCCCTTTCATCTGGCGGCGTCGTTTCAATTGTTTGAGGATCATGGGATCCACCAGGCGAGAGGACATATGCATCAAAGGATAGCGCGCCATGGTGGACTTGCCAAAGATGGTCCCCCCGACTTGATACGGCGAGATGAACCGTCCACGGGCACGTTGCCGTCGAATGCGATTTTGCGTTTTGAGAAAACCCCCCACGCGTACCATGTTTAACGTCCAAAGATGTCCCGTATACGTTGGGTCACTCTTTTATAGGGTTTTTTGGCTTGGTGTTTACCGGCCGCCCATACCATGGCGGGGGCTTTCCGTTTCAAGCCGCGGGTGAGTTGCCCACGTCGATTCGCCCATGTCTCCGCGGCACTCTTGCCTCGTTGAATCTCTTGCAATCCCGCTTGCGCTTGCTGCAGGACCAGTGGTCCCGCCAGTTTGATCAAGTCTTCGGCTAACCCTTTCCCCTCTTGCGAGGTGACCACAGGCGTGTGATACCGCGTTAAACTGCCTCCGCGCATTTTGGTCGGTTCACGTCGAAGGTGCTGTTTGGTCCCTCGCGTGGCGCGAGTGGCTTTTTATAGCTGTTTGAGACCGATGGTCACCAAGGTTTTGCCCGGGGGTAACACAGCCAGGGGTCCACTGGTACTGGCAATTTCCACTTCCAAAATATCCAATTGTTGTCCTCGTATTTTGATCCATTGATGGTGCAGGGGTTCCGCCGTGCTTTCCCCATCGCCGGTTCTCAACAATTGCACTTCCCGTAACAGGGGATACTTGCCACTGCCCACCACCGTGGATTCCACCAGATCCTAATAGACCATGACGGTGCGTTTACGGGTCCCCACAATCCTTTCAAACGAGGCATTTAGGTTGTTGATCTGCCATTCGTAGCCCATGTACAATCTCATCCATACCACATTATCCATGGTCACGATCGTAAAGGCTCGGCTAGTCGCCATCACCCCCATGTACTGCTCACCTCCCAATTGTAAAACTTCCGATTCTGACTGCCCACTGGACTGGTGGTCTCATTATAGGTGTCTGTCGGTGCCGTGAATTGCAAATTGGGCCCAATGTCAAAGGAACTTGTGACATTGGCTGTTTTGCCTGTCTTTCTGGTTAACAAGCCAAACTTCAGGGCAATGTCCAAGTTGATGTAAAATTCCACCACGTTGATTTGGCGTTGATCCGTCAAATCTTTTTGGGGCACTCCATGAATCACCAGGGCATCCTCTTTCCACGTCAGTCGGGGCATCGCGTATTTTTTGATGCTCACGATCGGTTTGGAATCGCGATCATGGATCATCTCATTATTTTGTTGTTCCACCAGTGTTTTCATGGTATAGTTATGCACTTCTTGACTCACGCGTTTCCAAAAATCCGTCCCGGTGGCCACGATTTGATTCAGGTTCATGATATCTTCCAATTCGATCTGGCCATTGAGTAAAGGGGCCGCTACGCGCAGATACCCGGAGGTAGATGGGTTGCCTGTGTCTGTCCATTTACGGATGATTTGTGGGTACTTGAATCGAACCACTTTGGTATGAGGATCCGCGGCGATGATGGCATTGCTCTGGCCTTGATCCGGGACCGTCAGGGACATCAACGAGGCATGCCACCCCGCGCCCGGTAACACCAACCGTTCGGGCAATCGCACCTTGAAACTATTGTTGGTATTGTTGGGAAACTCGTCGGTGGGATCACTGACCAGCGTCAGGCGTTTAATCTCGTTCATCCTGAGAAGTGGTCTCCTCCTATTGGATCAGGGTCCCTTTTATAGCCATTGGGCCACTTTCTGTTTACTGCGAGGGACGCGGCCTACCACGGAATTGAAGGTCGATTGTTTCGGGTGAAAACACACTTGCTGGGCAATGTTGGGAAAGGCCCGGGCTAATTCCAACAAAGTCATGCACGTCTTGGGTTTAGGGGGTTTCTTCTTGCGCATGGGTGGATGACGACCCGCGCGTCGACGTTGTTGTTTTTTCTTGGAGGGGGATCGCAAGGCCCCTCGTTTCTTGGCATACGCTTCGGCTCGATGGTAAGCATTGGCGTACGCCCATTGCTGTTTGGTCGGACTGGCCAACTTGTCCCACCACGGTTGGGTTTGCCGTTGTTCGGCGGCTTTCTTCTGGATGAATTTCAGGACATCGGCGTCGCTGGTGGGCGTGGGGGTGTAACTGGCGCGCGGTCGACTGGAATCCGCTTGCACTTCATCGAGAAACCGCACCCGCTTTTTTCTTTTTCGAGGGGTGATTTTGACGCGGACCATGCTGCGCGGGAATCCAACTATCGTACTTGGCCGGCCACCCTTTCCACCGGACCAACACCCGGCGTCCTTGACGTTTCAATACTTTTTCCACCCGAAATAACGAGTCGTCTGTGACTTGGACTTTTTGAACATCGGGTTCGTAAAACGTGCCTTTTATAGGGGTGCCGTCCCATTCACTGAGTCGATAGGTGACGATCGGATGACGACGGACATGCGTGATGATAAACACTTCTTCCGTCCACCCGGGCAAATACCCTTTTTTGAAGGGACGATGTTTCTTGTTGAGACGCACCCGATCCCCGACTCGACATTTGGGCGGTGGGGTGGTTTGCTCCAACCGCGCGCCGTAGAGTCTCTCCCACACGTCCGGGACCGTTTTGGGGGTGACTTGATGCGGGGCCATCCCAATACTGCGATGATACGTGTGATTGTAGGTATGAATCAAAGGTTGTAACACGTCCACGTACCGTAACGTATTGTGCGCGGTGAAATACCGGTACATGCGTTGTTTCAACGTACGATGCCATCGTTCCACCACCGAGGCCTTGCTATCCCCAAACGTGTAAAAATGATGCCACCCCTGCTGTTTGAACCAGGCTTGCACTTTTTTATTCAAAAATTCTTTGCCTTGATCCGTCTGCACGCAGAGCGGTCGTCGCGGCGAGGCTTGGCGACGAATCTTGTCCAACCCTCGGATCATGTTCGTGCTGCTTTTGGATTGGATGGGGACGGCCCAGGCATACTTGGACAACACGTCGATGACCGTCAACAAATAGTTGTTCCCTTGATTCCATCGACGGAGTTTTTGCATGTCGACCAAATCCATTTGCCATTGTTCGTCTCGGTCAAAGACCAACGTGGGTGCCGTGGGAAATCGCGTCCGTCGGGGTTTGTGGAGGGTATAACTCAACACCGATTGGAGAATCTGTTGGGCTTGCGGGGTTTTCAATTTATGGGCTTGGGCAAAAGGTCGGACCCCACCCAACGCCCCGGGTTCTTGGGGATCTTCGTAAGCGCGTGGCAACGACATCAAGACACTGACACACACTCGTAGCCCATCTCGGTCTTTAATAGTTTTTTTCACACACCTACATGCTTTTTTCAAAACAAACACGAGCTACCAAAGTTCTTATGCAAATGACGCCTGCTCTCATACGCTCGCTCCTGGGCTTGGATGGCTTCCTTAAACTGATTGGCTCACGGCCTATGCCTCTCCACAAAGTCCCTCTCTGGGGAAGTATCGTCTTTCTCAGGGTTTTTCAGCATGGGGACTGCAGGCATGCCCCATGGTCTTACGGGCGCCTTCTCATAGTCATGGACCCATCGTCTCAGGGTGGGTTGCGCTTGCTCTCGGGGGGACCACAGGGGGCCATGGAGCCATTGAAAGTAGCCACAGGGATCTTGGCCTGTGAGAAAACTGCCACAACTGAAAAACACTTTCTGGTAATTCTTTTGGGTCCGGCTCATTTTCATCCTAGGGACCAACCCACATTTGCACTTGAGCTCCCCTCGTTGCAATCGGGCCCGGACTTGAGGGTGTGTGTCTTCTTTCAATTTCTCCATCATCACCTCTCGACTATCTTCAAACAAATACACGGGACATCCTGCTAAGGGGCACTTGAACCTCAACTGGCCAAATTGGGTCTCGGGGTTAACGCATTGGAGGATTCGATGAGGATGAAAGGGGCACGTTTCATACAAGAGCTCGTTCAACTGGGTCTCCATCTGATCGAGGTCCTGGTCTTCTTGGACAGGCTCCGCCTGAACCATCCCTTCCTCTAGACACTCTTCCTCATAATCTTTTAGGGTGCCCTCCATCAAGTCGTTCACGGAGGAGACGGGTGAGACGATGAGGGAAGGGGTGGGCGGTGGGTCAGCTCGGGGTAGGGCGTTCAGGGCCAACACGAGTTCACTGGTAGGGGTCGGTTCCACGTTCCTCTCTACAGCCTGTGCTTGATAGGCCTCCGCTTCAGCTCGGGGCAACCCGATCAAAGTCATCTCGAGTTCACGGGTGGCTTCCATGTCTTCTTTGTCCCTCTTGGGTTTCTTATTACTACTCACTCGGCGTCGTTTGCGTCCTGAGGGCACCGCGGCAGGTTGAGTGGCTTGACGTTCCATGTCTGGGTGGAATGATTGGGGTGCACGTCTAGCCTGCCTTTTATAGCCCATGTCCCTGCGTCTCGTGATCCTCATACGATCTGGTGGTCCACCAATCCTGTCTCAGCCCTTGAACTCGTGAAGGTGGTGTGATCGGTGGGTCCACCAATCAGAGCCCATTCTGCCCGCTATAAAATCAGGGGTGGCTCGCTGCGGTGTCATTCTGTCCTTTGGAGGTGTATGGAATGTGAAGGTGGATCGATCGCTAAAGAACTTCCTATTGTAAGTAAAATCATGTCGCTCCACGAAGTGGGTCTCTTGGTGTTCAGTCAGGGGTTTGCCCTTTCCCGAGACGAGTACATTATTCGAGAACTGGCTTTTTGTGATTGGACAGGGCATCATCATG